GAGAATATGATTTGTGTGTAACGACAAACTGTCACTCTGTATGTGTTTTATGTAAAAGTTTTTTGTAAATATAGAGGCTGTTTTGTGATTTGGGAAGACATACACTGTGAACGTAGAGAAAAAGAAAAGTGCAGGCAGGACAATGCTGTGTTATTGATAATTGCATATGCTGATGATGGCATTTGTGCTCATAGGAGGTTTCTTGAAACCAGTATTTTCAGAAAACCGCGGATTTTTGCATTTCAGGAAGCGGTTTGAGACTGTCATTATCTCGAACTCTATATGCCCATCAATTTTCATAGCTGTCATTTTGATTTGCCTGAGTTGTGAATTTATTTAATTTCGACTGGTAATTCAGAAAATGACGAAGTATTAAAGGACCTTCGACATGAATGACGATCATATCAGTACTCAGCACCCTTGATTGCAGCCAATCGGCTGTGTTTTGGCCAAAATGGATGAGTGGCACCTGCGAAAGTTCCTTCATTAGCGTTTTTGTTGGACATAGGACAAGTTTATAATCGATCTATCCCCCCATTATAGTAGATTATACCTCCGTCTAGCACTCCTTTGAAAAAAAAGCTCTATAAGTGTCGTTCACGTAGTGACTAAGGAGAAGTTAGTAGTAGATTTCTTTATGTTCGCATAGCATTTTTGACTATTGGTAGAAACTTAAAAGTTTTATTTTGGCGCTCAACCAGTTAGAACGTGTGTTGTTTGAGGGGATAGAGGAAAGGAAAGTTAAAACAAAACAGGATACCAATAATGTTTTTGACACTACTTTTAAGAAAGAATTCGCAGCATCAACTACTAAGTGCAATTTTTGGTCGAAATGGTTTTTTCTTTCATCTCTTATGCGATTTACCATGCAAAGTTACCCAGGTCAAAAAATCAGATCAAGATCTTTTAGATCTTATAAAATCTTACGGAAAGTTATAGAAACGGGTTCATCTTATAAAATCTTATAAAAATCGTACAAGAATCTTACAAAATCTGATGAAATCTTACTATAAGATCGTACATCAAGAATCGGTTTCCATGTTTCTTCCAGAATCTTACAAATTCTTATACGAATCTTACGAAATCAGACGGAATTGTACAAGAATCTTATAAGATCTTACAGCAAGATTCTTGGCCTGGATAACTGTAAATCTGATTTTTGCTTTTGGAAACGTTTTATTCGCGAAACAGAAAATTAAAGAAACAGGACAAGAATTTTTTGTGTAAAATATGATCATTGATCGAATCTGTGTTTGTTTTAAAAATTACTTTCATATCGATTGAAAGAGGGGGAAAAGCTAAGAATAAATGGTTATCTTTTGAAGTATCACATTTTACTATCCGTTCCAAATGGTCAGACCGCTGGTTGCTTTTTGAATAACTTTTGATAGGAATGAGATAGAGACCTGCAATTTTCGCTGTTCAATAGCCAAGATTTGAGAATCGCGGTGCTCTTATCCAAAGCCGCGTTTTGTTAGAAAACTGCGGTTCACCAGCGCACGCAGTTGCTCGAGATTTGAATTTATAATCGCGATTTCATTAGTAAGAATCGCGTTTTTGGTATTGAGCTGTGATCAACTGCGTACATTGATTAACCGCGGTGGTACGCAAATCAAGAACAGAATGCGGTTTCCCCATTGTAATCGCGGTTTTTTCATAATTACACTAAAATCCACCACGGTTGGCAACCAACCGCGATGAATCCTTTTGAATTTGAAACCGCGTGTCATCGATAAAGTAACGACTGGCCCAGAATAAATTAGACTGTCAGTGTTTTTGAAGTTCCTTCTCTTCCTCAAAGTCGATCGAGATCATTCTTAAATCAAAAGATTCGCCTTTCAATTCTCTACGAAATGGTATATAACTGGTCAGGCTAGGTCCTAAGAAGGTGCGTTCAGTGAACATAAGGTTGTGTAAGTTACCCCGAAAAAGTAGAAAATGTAAATGTCAAGAAACTTATTTCTCTAGTAATAAATCTAGCTATGGAATTGTATCAAAGCCCAATACGCATTTTTTTAGCCCTCGGATTTCTGTACTGTAAGCTCACAAAGACCAACTTTGCGTGTCGTTCTGTTGCTTTGAATAATTGTTTTAGTAAAAGCGCTCTCACTGTTTTCTTTAGCTTTTCTCGGATCACGTATTAGGATCATTCATCAATCGGCAATATCTCGACCAAGAACAAATCAGTAGAGCTGCTGAATGTGCCATTATGAAAAGAAAGATTTTCGCTACTCAATACATATCCAAACCGTTCATATTTGTTTTGTTGAGAAAGAATGGGGTTAATGTAACTGATACTTCGGTGGTTTTATGTCGGCAGATAAATAATTATTCCATTTAAATAGAGAGAGGAGAAAAGTGGAAACAAATTTAGTGTCCATCGAATGGAGGGCATCATAATACGTAGAAATCAACGTGGAATTTGGTTTGCGCTCATGATTAGAGATGAATTTCAGGCTGCAAAAACTTATCAAAAAATGATTACATTTTTCACTTTTTCGAAGTACACAATCTTATGTTCACTGAAGGCACTTTTTCAGGACCTAGCCTGATCAGTTATATACCATTTCGTAGAGAATTGAAAGGCGAATCTTTTGATATAAGAATGATCTCGATCGACTTTGAGGAAGAGAAGGAACTTCAAAAACACTGACAGTCTAATTTATTCTGCGCCACCCGTTAGATTAAAAACGCGAAAAGAAAAAGGATTTCTACTTTTGTTCGTCTCGTATGAGTAAAGGCAGAGCTTTTTATTTCTTGATTAAATGGTTCAATCAGTAAAAAAGGCATGTTTTCAATCAGACATTGTTTCAACAAAGATGTTTAAAGTATCAGTATCGAACTTGTTCTCGATGTCTGGGTCAAAAAAGATTCTACTACTCAATCCATAAAAACTGACAAGTTAAGGTGATCTCATTCGAAGCCAGATGGCACCGTTAATTTTCCGTGTATTCCTCCGAGTAAATGCTGGACAGATAATGGATCTGCGTAAGTTTGTCTCAGACAATCTTATACTGGTTCATATACGGATCTGAACAAGTATAATGTTTACGCGTATGTTTTAAGCAGATTCCTGATACAGTAGGATTCTCATTAATCCTTATCTTTCTGATTTCATAAGAAATTGACATTTTACGATCAACAGAAAAATATGGTGTCTTATACGCTTCTCTCGTGTTTTTTTTCTTCGAGATAAATGCTTTTCATAGGGTTGCGTTCTGATTGTGAAATACTTACTTGTATTTCGTCTCCAATGACGTATGTCATGCGATAAAAGATCAAACAGAAAAGGAAAGAAGAAAAACAGGTGATACTGACAAGTATAAGTGTGTAACCAGTAGTACTTTTAATGATATTCTTACTCAAAAATTGTATAGTGCGCTGTGAAACAAAATGTTGACCTTAGAAGCACTACCCGATGAAATATTAATGCTTATTATTGGGTATAGTGGAGATGTTTATAATGTACTCAAAGCATTTCTTGGACTAAACCAAAGACTGAATAATATTCTAATGGACAAACGTTTACATCTACTTGCCGACCTATTAATTATCGCAAAAGATGATAGAAAGTTTGACTATTATTGTAGGTGCATATTTCAAAAAGTATCCCAGAGTGACAACAATCGATGTCAAACAGAAGAACAAATTCGGTCATCTCTTCAGTCACTAGTATTACTCCAAATGAGAGACGGGTATACGAGCTTCGAACAAGAAATAAAATCGCAAACCGAGCAATATGAATTAATTCGTGAACAACTTATAAATGATGAGGCTGTTGCGGTTGACAATGAATTATATGACGTATTCAGGAACTTGGAACATAATTCGATGAATGCGGCTCATATTGAACAAACGTGTTCACTCATCAACTCACTCGTAATGGCTAAAGGTGCAAGACTTAAATGTGACGATTATGAATTGGCCCGATTTAACTTTGCCAAAGCTGTAAATACATTTTTATTATTCGCTATTGCCAGTCCAACAAAACTTAAACAGACGGAGTCAAGACGATTCAAAAGTGTTGTTGAAATCTTTAAACTCCTCCTCATTCTCGGTCATATGTAAAGTACGTCGG